CAAGAAAGGACACCTTACCGAGAACTGTAAGTTCGACGCGTCGAGAGCTAAAAGTCTGAAAAAAGGCCGATATACAGACTATATGTAAGCAATAATGACAAGGGTATGGACCCAGGTTTTGTTGCCATTGCTTGCCGAAATGTCCACCAATATGTACTCAACAGCTTTTCTATGTTGTTCCGATATAGTTGTGTGTGTACGCAATGCCATGTATGACTACACGAGTGTCAACGTGCAAAATATCCACATGGCGGGCACTTTACTTTCACTACAGTTGTTCGAATAGATTATCATGAACGGAACCCGACAAAACGGCGAGTCTATCTAATTTAATCCTCATAGATTTTACCGTTGGTGCATAAATGTTTACAGTTGGTGCGTCCAACAGTCTAGTAACAAAGTTTCTGAATATTGGTCAATCCCGATCTGTTATTTAATTTCTTGTTTTAACATAATTTTGTTCTTTTGAAATAAATAATATCATCTCTATTAGCAGGTCTTGGTTTAGATGTTCCATATACAAGTCTAGCATCACAGTACTAGAAAAGCCAAAAAGTCAATTCCAGATTCCATTTCGACGGCATACATAGAGACAAAATTCAGATCCGGATCCAAAAGTTGTGAACGAACCACAGAACTAATTCAGTGCGCGTCCGTATTAGGACCTCACATCCATTTTGATAACATAAGCTGGCATGGACACTTAGGCCTTATCTATATTATTGGACGCACTTATTTGCTTATTAACTGACGTATACACTGAACAATTTAGACATGTACGGGAATTGTTTTTGACAACCCCAATACAAATAAATACACATTGTAGCAAGCCGATGAAGGTACAAAGTCCATAGCACAATTATTTCTATGAAATAGTCATTGCTAGAGTCGACAATTCTGGTCGACTCTATAACATCACCAATAAACATCAACACGAAATCAGTTCTGTATGAAATAGGCATCACTTCCTAAGTAGAGTTGAATATAATTGTCGACTGTATTACATCACTAATACACTTCAACAAACATGAAGCTACGTAGAGAGCCACCCCCCCCCCCCCCGCCGCGCACGCGCCCATTCTACAACTCACAGCTGAATTTATTCTGTTGCACAATGATGACGATGTCCAATAATACATACTGAACCCTTAAAAAGAATCCCATTTAACTTATAACTAACTATACATGTAGATATCATAAACAATGAATTGATGGACAGAAGTGTCAGAATTTAGACATAGGAAATAGCGGATCATGAAAAGAATCGGGGATGGTCCGATATGGGGAGTGCGTTGAAAGCTATCAAATCAACTACACCGTTGAGAATTACAACAAATCATTTGAACCACATAAGCGTATTTCAGAAGTCCTCTCGCAAATTTCTGATCATATGCAGAGTATCCACGATACGTAGGGTAGAAGTTGGCTTAAATAGTAGTAGTTTCATTGGAGAGGCGGTACAGTGATTATAGGCTCGTTCCGATGACTATAATACAGCATTTGAAATATATTAATATCGGCCTGACATCTTTTTATATGTTTAATATTAAAGAACGATGTCTTTGAACAACGAGTATACAAAAAATCATTAGACTGGCCTTTCTGTTATGAACCACTGTGAAGAAAAAATTAAGAAAACAATGAGAATTTCATCAACCGCAGGAAGTATTTGCAATTTAATTAAATCATTACAGGTTTTAAGCATCCAATCTCGCCTATGTTGCATGTCGCGGACATCATGCAATACGATTATGAAAACAAACACACAAACGTAGAGGCACCTACAAGGCAAAAAATAGCGCCCGATCAATTCCCTCATTTTATATTAGTCGGTTCTCTCATATTCTATGAAGCTAACTTCATTGCGAACAATATTGCACTTGCTTACTGCGCGAAGTTTCGATATCTATAGTATGAGCCGATGGCAACAATCTGAACAATAAACAACGCGAAATATTCACGATACATTTTGTGCTCACATTATTCATGAAATCATACCACAGGAGCAAATTTATAAACTTGCTGTGGACGGACTAGAGCCGTATTTGAGATAGGTGACCTTAAGTTCGGGTAACAAAACACTGACTGAACTGGATAAAATACATAGTACTAGCGAATATTCGATCAATGTAGGAAGCGTGGCATGATCTCCTGAACTCGATATGATCCAAAAACCTTTAAGACCAGATGCCAGACTCTTAAAACTACAGAAAGGAAGGGTATGCGCAGGACAAGATATTCTGTGCAATAGCAAAGCTATTGGGCAATATGGCAAGAAACCAAGATACTCAAAACAACGGCGATGACGATGCCTTCAGTTTACTAATTTCTATGAACTGTCAGCAATCCCATGTAGTCTTCCCGCGTTCGTGTAATTTTTCCAGAGAAATTACAATCTAACTTACAAAATGGGATGTACATGGCTGGGATGTACATGGATGCCATGTACAATGTATGCTGTTCTTTTGATGATGATGTTCGAAGGTCAAGTCTAAATAGTATAGTTTTGTCTTTCAACTGAATAGTTGTCATATATAGAGTACGTGACTACTGTGCATCAGTAACATGATATCTGAGGCGTTAAAAACACATCGTAAAGGAAAAAAGAGGATTGCTCCAGTTATTGCCTGGTCCGATATTGGCATCACGCTTTCAACCGAACTTGAAGGCGCAATCAAATTGCCAAGTCCATTTAGAGACTTTCCAATTTGATACTCCCGTGTATTGTCGTGTGCTCTTCCGACGATAGGTTTTGTAGATAGTATACGCGTGTCCTTTTTGTCGTCTAAGTGCTGTCAACCGGTGATCCCCAGGAAAAACCTACTGAGTCCCTACAGCTTTAGATGGAATTTAGAGTATGAGTGACTAATATAACATTGTGTTATCAATAGACAAAATGACACAAGTTATGTGAGAGGCAACGAAGCATGCTTGTTCGCACACTTTGAAGTGTGCATTCTTACTAAGTTATCTTTGGAGGTATTGCATGTGTTGTATTTATCATATTGCCTATTCTCATTTCCTTTTGGATTACGAGGCAGTACTAGGCAGTGTTTCAAATCGAATTTGTATGAGGGCCATCAGATGGGATTATTACACAATGGTTCCCGAGTTTCAATGGTTCCCGAGTTTACAATCTATTCTTGTGTGTGCCTATGTCTGGATCGAAACCGATCAACTTGTGACTTGGCAGCAATACGGATTCACGAGATTTCGATGTATTATTAGCTGGTAGTTCTAGTTAGGTAGATATTAAATTTTTGATCATGTGCGATCCAAAGTCGTATGTATTTTGGGTCCTATATTTCTCTCGGTACTCAAGTGTGAAAGTCCCGTATTTTTATCATGCAATGACCACATAGGTATAAAGTAAGATATAAGCCTTTAGTGAGATTCTTTACCCAGAGGTGGACTGTCGTGTGATATTAGTCGTTATGATTGTGATGTATAGTGAATACCTAGGTTGTGCGCGCTGAATATATTGCAGTCATGGAGAAGTACCAGAACTACAAGTCAATCCCGACATTGCAGATGTCGATCTCATAATCATTATTAAGATGCGTGTGGATAGATTAAAAGAAGTCAAGTCCTTGTTCTCAATTTCGGTTCAAACTAATCATGATTGAAATAGCTCACTGCAAAATGGTGCTTTTAGCGGCGTATTTTGAGGTGGGAGGGTTTACGGAATTGCATATATCCCATCTATTTTTATACTGTCCCATACCATCGGCTAGTGGCGATGTATTGACATCTCACCTGTACTTAAAAGAAAGCGATTTTACTTTCAAACTCATGAAAACTGACAACTACTTTTATCTATTAGAGTTTGATTTTTTTTGTGGCGAAACAAGGACAGGGTGACCGCTCTGGGGGATATACAAGGTTCTATCATACGTAGATAAACTCAGTCCCTTCTGCTCAAAGTTAAAGTAAATGTGCACAGCGACATTGACAATGCCAATCCTTTCGGTTTAAAGAAATACAGTCAGAAATGCTTCGCTGACACAATGGAACATCAAACCGAGCGAGAATTTGGCGTATGACGAGCTAACCACTGTGCTATATAAATAGACAGCCAAACAGAGGGGGTCATCAACATGCCACTCGGGCGGACTGACGAAGTTGCGGACTCATACAAGTCAGAAGTACCGCGCTGAATAGGGCAATCGCGTGTAGCTCATCATAAGTGGCCTAGCGGTGCTGCACTAGATCAAAGTGATACGGAGAATGTCAGTTTTAAATAAGTGCATCGAATCGGATCGGTTGCGTACGATTTAGTAATTCAGGTACTTCTGTGAGAATTGAGCTTACCACGATGCGCTTTTGAAAGGGTTGTGAACAAATGGGCTTCAATCTAGGTTGTTGTCGTACAACCCGGAATGAAGGGCACTTGATTGAGGCAATCGTATGATCTATTGCTCGGCTGACGGATGGGAGCGATGCAACCATCAAAATGATAAGTAAACGGATATTTGCACCATAATGGGGGGTACGATGTACCGCGGGTATACGCCGGCGCCAATTGTTCAGAGTTTACGCACATGTATCTTCTTCCTCACTGAAAAGATACGTAAGTCCGATGCTGTGAATTTATGTACGCAATTAAAAACAGATCTAAAAGAATGCATTGCTCCAAGAGGTTGCAGAATTTAATGTCTTACGGTGAAGTGGCATGGGTTGAGATTCCTTTGTCCGAAGCTAACTGGCTATTTTAAGTCCGCGCAACATGTTAGATTAATTGAGAATTTCCAATTACTTAGCGTAGACTGAAAAACAAAAAACAAACGTCGAAACAAATTTTATTGGAAAGATTTGAGTTTGTATGCCGTGTCTGAGCGTCATCTGCAAGAAAAATAAACTTTCTGAGTTCACATACTGTCTGATATGCTGGGTGCCTACTTTGCACGGCGTTATTTTAATCACATGCATCGGCAACTCAAAAACTTCTACTACATCGATAGATACAAATGGTTTGTCTTACATGTAGCTTCGAAAACACAGCGATTTTAAACCTGGTTGCTTTATTGAGATTGCTTCTCAGACACTAATAAGTGCTGGAACTACGGACTTACTCACACAGAAGACACGCCCGCTAGAGACAACATGAGCATCCGGCCACAAGCTACAGTCTCACATTGTACGCAACCGTCGCCTATAAACTTCATGTGCACATGCGCTTTAGTCGACTCCACGAGACCCAGGGTGCCAATGCCCAAATGTGTCCAAATGTATGTAAGAGCCGCATGGCTAGCCTGCTAGTCCCTCCGAAATCAGATCGAAGTGAGTGCTACGGGTAAGGTGCAGTTCGCCGACAAGCATGCAAAGCATGAGTTGTCATATAACATTTGTTGCGATCACCCATAACTAACTATACGCAGCAGGATTGTCCGCGTCAACCAGTGACCACCAGCGACCATCTCACAAGTGGTAGTACACCTCGTACGTGCAAGTGTTTTATAATCGCCTCAGTGACATCTCCTACGGAGGGTAAGTCACCAGCGCCTAGATGTGCTAAGCATAGCTATCTGTCGCATATTCAGCCGTGCAGGTCATCAAACGCCGAGTCGTTCGAGATTTGGTAACCCCTCGCCATCAAGATTTTGTTCTTCATCTTCAGGGCTTCCGCTTTGGTCTCCTGTGAAGGAATCGCGCAAGAGGTCTGCATCAGCCCAATGGACTGCAACAGACAACAACACAGCACATCCCTGAGCAGACGCGTGTGCATATGACCTCGTGATCACACACCACAACATTAACACAGTGCGTCACCGGTACACAGGCACACTGAAGATGATACCGATACATTTGCGACAGCCCCATACCAGCGAGCACAGTGGCTATAAAGTTAGCAGCGGTACTAAGTAGACACCCAAGTGGTTGGAGCGCGATATCAGCATATGTAGGCTACAGTGCTGGTAATTCAGTTACACGAAGAGACTACGGAATCTGCCCAGAAGTCATGGGATGCGTACAAACCCCATATTGTGTGCATGTATTAGAAAACTAGACTACCTCGTTGCAGGACTCTGGTCCGGGCGGAATGTCAGCCAACACTCGCAACGGACTAATACACAGGTGTACACTGCACGTGAGACAGCTATAGAAGTGGCTAACCCGCAAGTAAGGGGTGTTGTAATAACAGTGAGTGACTAACCCGCTAGTAAGGGGTGTTGTAATAACAGTGAGTGACTAACTAGCTAGTAAGGGGTGTTGTAATAACAGTGAGTGACTAACTAGCTAGTAAGGGGTGTTGTAATAACAGTGAGTGACTAACTAGCTAGTAAGGGGTGTTGTAATAACAGTGAGTGACTAACTAGCTAGTAAGGGGAGTTTAATAACAGTGAGTGACTAACTAGCTAGTAAGGGGAGTTGTAATAACAGTGAGTGACTAATTAGCTAGTAAGGGGTGTTGTAATAACAGTGAGTGACTAACTAGCTAGTAAGGGGTGTTGTAATAATAGAGAGTATACATATATAAATATATAAATAGATATATATATACATACATATATATACATATACATATACATATATACACATATATATATATATACATATACATATATATATAAATATATAAATGACCAACTAGCTGATAAGGGATGTTGCAACAACAGTGAGTATATATATATATATATATATATGTATATAAATATATAAATGACCAAATAGCTGTTAAGGGGTGTTGTAACAACAGTGAGTATATATATATATATATATATATACAAACACACACACACACCCACCCACCCACCCACACATATTTATATATAGATATATAGATATATGACCAACTAGCTAGTAAGGGGTGCGGTGTAAGGCCCCACCTACCTGTTCGTCTCGTTGCAATTCTAAAATGTCCAGTACATCCACTTCCTTCAGCTTCGAGTCTGCCTCCAGCATCGGGTCCTGCACAAACATTGTGTGAAGTATTGAGCAAGTTAGCGCGGTGTGCTTGTGTGATTGTATCATGGGACGCTGTAGACAAAATGCACGCACACATACACGCACACATACGAAGAGATACACGACACGTAGACATACACGCACACATAGGAAATATAAAAACAACTTGATATAGTTGAGAATTGGAGACGTTGTGTGCATACATGCCACCCCCCCCCATGGCAGATGTACCGCTGCACGCACTGATCGTGCAAGAACTATGGCATGCGGGCGACTGTGTGCACAACCTGACAGCATACCAATACACCGGACACACCATGTGAGTATATGCAGCAAGTATACAAATCTACGTGTATATGTAGCAATTATACAAATATATGTGTGCCTTTTGCTCGCCCGACAGCGTGGCAGTGCATATGTGCATGTGTACACATCATCGATCTGCAAATCTACTGGCATGCAATGACAGCGCATTATACTGCACGAGGTTGGTACAGGGTCACAGACCCGTGAGTAGTAACCATGTGAAGCACCCTTTAGTCGCGTAGATGCACATATCATGCCTGGGTATAAGCAACTAAAAGACCGGGTATAGAGTGTAGACATGTGTGCAGAAAGTATGTAAACATTGTGCTTTATAACTACCCTAGAAAGTACGTAAACATTGTAATTTAAAACTATCATAGAAAGTACGTAAATATTGTGCTTTATAACCTACCCTAGAAAGTACGTTAACATTGTAATTTATGACTACCGTAGAAAGTACGTAAACATTGTAATTTATAACTACCAAAGAAAGTACGTAAACATTGTGCTTTATAACTACCAAAGAAAGTGCGTAAACATTGTGCTTTATAACTACCCTAGAAAGTACGTAAACATTGTAATTTATAACTACCAAAGAAAGTACGTAAGCATTGTAATTTATAACTTAACTAGAAAGTATGTAAACATTGTGCTTTTCAACTACCATAGAATGTACGTAAACATTGCGCTTTATAACTACCCTAGAAAGTACGTAAACATTGTGCTTTATAACTCCCATCGTGGGGTAGGAGTCGGTGCACTGACACGCAGTGAAGACAATAAAGCACAAACAGGATATCGAATCCGCCAGGACCAGCCAAGGAGACTCGAATACGTGCATGAATACAAATACCTCAGAAGCAAACGTGTTTTATCTAATCTAGAATGAGCATACCTCTGGTTTAAACACACATCCCATAAGGGGTCTACTATAGTACCAACTCGCCCACCCACACTACGTTCAAGTAGAGGTCAGCATTACATAACTCGCAACCACACGCACACAAACGAACCTCTGTACAACCTCAACCAACTGGTGAGAGACCTGAGCACACCAAGTAAGACATTCAGATTAAACACAACCGATACAATATACAAGAGTATGAACTCTCGACCGCTCTTTTTAGGAAGGCACTGAATTCAATCCTACGACATACAGACGACCCCTCTACAACGATTCATGAACAATCACAATCTCGTATTTCACCATGTGGATTGCATGTTCTAAACATAGTGTGCAACATCGGATCAATCGTCAGATAGCCCATTAAGTCCACATCCTCGTCCTCTTATTCCGTAAATCACACGTGTATATGTATGTATATAAATGAAAACAAATCCACAATGATATGTATGTATGTGCACGTGTGTATGACATACACCGCACCCCCAACACACACACTCATATATATATGTATATATCAACAAACGCATTCCATCCCCCACCACTTCACTTACCAACTCGCCCATCAAGACTACATTCTCGCCCTTGACCACGTAGATGCCACGCTGTATATCGCCGTACTGCTGACCCACATACACTCGCTCAATGGTGCGGTGGAGGACAACGTTCGCAAACTGATCGAACGAACGCAGGTAGCCGATAAGCTTCCTGCCGTCTCGCATCACCACTAGAACACGTTTGTCCACGTCATCGGCGAGAGATACAGACCCCGAGAGATAGGCAGGCCGTTGCGAGGAAGATCGTTGCGGGTTGTACTGGTTGTTGTTGTTGTTGTGGCTATGGTTGTTGTTGTTGTTGTTACTATTGTATCTGTTGTTGTTGTTGTTATAGTTAGTGTTGGTATTATTATTGTTGTAGATGTTATTGTTGTTATATATGGGTCGGGGCGCCTGTTGTTGTTTCTGCTGCTGCGGTTGCTGTAAATAAATCAACACAAGAGAGTAGACGAGCACTTTGAGTGAGATATACGAGTGATTGGATACAACATTCGCATGTGCTATGACTCCAGTTCGAGTAAGCCTTTCATAGGCAAATACCCACAGTACTCGAGATTTATGTCGCCGAAGGTATGTTCATTAATGGGCATCCAATACCCATTCAACTAAAGTTCGGAAGCACCCACACTCACACCCATGTATAAAGGTATATATGTATGTGTATGTATGCAAGAGCCTAGAAATCCATACAGAATTGAACAAAAAGCTGAGATATAAAGTCTTGCTCACATGATATTAGATATAACTACACCACAGCACCCTATCCAAAACCACATACTTGGTATTGGTTGTATTGTGGCATTTGCTGGCTGTACTGCTGCCCCTGATTCCGTTGGCCACCCATTGGCATGTCCTGTCCCTGTCCCTGCTGCGTATATGGGCAAATGCAGAAGTATGCATACATGAATAGATATATATCCGCATGAACACAAACATACACACACGCATATATTATTAATATTAATATATAAATATATATATATAGATAGATATAGATATATGTATATACATATACATATATATATATATACATATACAAATATGAATATACGTATATGGTTTAAAACTATTCGATGTCACGAACTGAGTGAATATGTGTGGTGTTGGCAAGTGCTATTCCAATCATTGTGCATGAGATAGGGAATTGGTGACATAGTCTGAGTGTATGACAAATGAAGTGGTGGGCTTTTCGAGAAAGGCGACGTCATATAAAAACCACAACTTATCCGAGAAACTCACATGTCCTTGTCTTTGCTGTGTCCCCATTGGCTGATTGTGCATCTGCTGCCCACCCATTGGTTGATTGTGCATCTGCTGCCCACCCATTGGTTGATTGTGCATCAGTTGAGCCCCAATTGTGCTGTTCTGCATTTGATGTGATCCCATTGGTTGACCCTGCATGTTTGGTCCTCCCATGGGCTGGTTGTACATTGTGCGGTCTTGCTGCATATGGGAGCTCTGTTTCAAAAAACAGGCCCGAAAAGCACCATTATTAGAATCGGTGAGAATCTGCTGTGTTGGGTTAATAGTGTTGGAGCGTCGTCTATATCATTGCACAGGAGAGATATATGCGCGTACATACATACGCACAGCCATTTATAAACAGATGTAAAGAAAGTTCAAAGGATAGGATATTTATATTTGAATAGTTGTAGATAACCAAACTTGCAAACACTTGCTAATTCTTGATTCAAAACAAATTGTCTGTTTGTGAATTATATATATATATATATATATATAAATGTAAGTTCAAAGGATATGATATTTATTTTTGAATAGTTGCAGATAACCAAACTTGCAAATACTTGCTGATTCTTGATTCAGAACAAAATTGTCTGTATGTGTATTATAGAAACTATATTTATATATATATATATATGAGCAGCGATTCAGTGAAACTCACCAGACCATCATTCCGTCGATGTACAAATAGAGAATTTACTGACAATAGAGAAAAATACAACACAATACAAATCAACGAACTACGCACTGAGTGCATCACTTCACATAATCACAAACCCAGAAACACACCCACACACCCACTCAACCACCCACCCACATACACCCACACACACATATATATGTATATACATATATGTTTATATAAATATATATATATATACACAGACACACACAGACACAGACCCATATACATATATGTATATATACATACATACATACACATATACAGATATGTTTATATATATATGTTTCTATATATATATATATATATATATATATATATACACATATATATAATAAA